GTAGATGACCAAGCCGGACGACAGACTATGACTGAAACATACCATCCATGATGACCCTGCATAAGTGCAGCACCAAACACACACCAAGTATCATACTATACAAGTTTCTCTAAAATATAGTAAACGAAGTTAATACATTACAAAAAGAAAACTGTCTGGGATACCTATGATCTCACCTGAAATAAATATTATAACATCGGTTGAATTAATAAAAATAATAACCTTTCATATAAAATGTATATAAACTAATATATATATACAAAAAATAAATACATACGTAATTATGAAAATATTCCCTAAATCTGAACTATAGTAGTGAGCTTATTTACTAATCTTTATTTTATATATATATCAATTTTCTTTTATCTTTTTTACTCCATTTTTTTTTACCAGTGTATGCGTATGCTATATAGGAACAGGCATACTTTCAGCCATTGCAAGTTGAATTTGAATTTGAAGTTGAATATACAATATAAACATAAGCACAACTTTACTAGGTGCAATAATTGAAATTGAAGTTACATTCAGCTACATTTCACCTTTTTTTACACAAATATATGGTAATAGTTAACTAGCATACTTGTACACGTTTGTAGTAGAAGTGAAAAAAAACATCATAAAAATGTTAAAAGTTAAGTTAAACTTCATTTCAATTAAGCATTTTTTTTCTTAGATACATTAAGTTCCTATACACTTATATCACAAGTAGGTACCACTGGATTTGTTTTGAATTTAAATTTGAATATTATTTGTAATAGAAGTGTTTAGTAATTAGAGGTCACAATAGGTTTTCAATAAAATTAAAATTGGGAATTCGATTAGTTGTAGCGATTATATATCTTGTTGAAAAGTAGGTGTAAACTTTTCTCGAGTGTGTGTGAGTTTATGGATAGAGAGTGTGAGAAGAATCGTCGTAGGTTCAGTAAACAACGCTAGTAATTTGAACGATGACCAAGGAACGAGTGTGCGGAGAAGTGCTGTTGAGCGCCAGAAGGCTCCAGATAGTTAACCTGCTTCCACCGCAACTAATGTTGACCAACTGAGCCAGTTGATGGCAATGATGCAACAAGCTCTGATGGCGAATTGCGTTAATGAAGTCAGGAACATGAGGAGCAACATGTCTGATCTCAGCAACAGAGTCACCGACATGGAAGCATCAGCACAAGCCCTGGGTCATCGTTCCGCAGTAGCATCTACGCCGGAAAATCCAGGACACAGTAATGACGCATTACACAATCGAGCAAGGGCAAACACCACTCCCACCGTACAACAACAGATAAGAAAAGATGCACCAGAGTCGCAAAGATGGAAGAAGGTGGAGTTAGATAAGTGGCATGTTAAGTTTGACGGTACGGAAAAAAAATTACAGTGGAAAGTTTCCTTTTCAGAATCGAAAAGATGCAGGCGCAACACGAGATTTCGCATTTCCAGCTATTCACAGACTTCCACTGCCTCGTGTCTGGTTCTGCGCTGAAGTGGTGTTGGCAGGTTCTAGAAAATCATGCAGAGGATCCAAGCTTTGGATATTTTGAGCTTAAAGCAGAGCTGCTAGCCCACTTCAGAACCGCGGAATCAGATCACGAGATAATCAGGCAAATCGTCGAACGAAAGCAGTCACCTCAAGAAGGGTTTGACGAGTTTTATGCGGAAGTCCATGATCTGACGTTTAGGCTGCGGAAAAAAATACCAGAGGTGGAATTAGTAGGCATTCTGAGGGGAAACTTGAAACCGTACCTGGCTAATTTAACATTCTCGTCACAGATCAAAACTCTCGCTGAGTTGAAGGCTGAATGTAGACGCGCGGAAAAGGTCATCAAGGAAAACCGAAACAGGGCCAAGACTGTAAACGAACTGGCTTTTCCAAATTGTCAGCTGTTTGATGAGCCAGCAGAAGCAACGCAAGTCGAAGCGATAAGCAACTCGATGAAGAACAAAGTGCCGTACAAACAAACTACCAATGTTGTAAATAGACCGGGAATTAGCCGCAATTTCACGTACTAGTAGCGCTCACTCCACCATCAAGTCGTTTTGCCCGTCCCCATTTCATCTTATTTTGTGTTTTAAATGTAGTATGCCCGTAGATTTTTATGTTAAGAACCCAAATGAGGCCTCAAGAGACAGTTGTTGCAAGTCCTCATTCCATAATATGGTGTGTTTCGCATGCGGCGACGATGCATCATTGTGCGTTTTTAAACCTGCAACGGGAAACGGAAGGCTGGCGGGGATCACCGGGAACTTCAGCCAGATGCCGAAAACCTTGGAATCAAACCCGCCATTGAAATACTAAAACTAAAAAATAATGAAGTATCCAAAGAGGTATTAGAAGATAAGCCTCAAATAAAAAGCTTGCATCAACGCAAATTAGAGTATGAAATAGCACGTAAGAGAATTTTTGGTGAAGTGATAAGCAAAAATACGCCAAATTCAAAAACTAGAAACCTTACCAAGATTCAAAGAATGAGGGAAAAGGCTAAAACGCTTAGAAGAATACGCAATAAAATAGTATCGACGATAGTCACCATTAAGGGGGATAACCGTTTTTTTGCGCAAACGAAGGTAGGAGGGATAGAAGTTATCGCACTATTAGATTCTGGCGCAGAAGCTTGTTGCTTAGGGAAGAACGCAGAGAAATTTTTGCAAAATAATGAAAGCAAGATAGTCCCAGTAAAAAATCAAAGTATAAGAACAGCGAACGGGGGAGAAACTCCAATAACAGGAGTCATAAGCCAGTCTTGTGGGATGGCCTGACACGGGAACTTGAGTTTCTTATAGTGCCAGGATTACAACAGGAGGTATATTTAGGCATAGACTTTTGGTAAGAATTTAATATGGCAGTTGTCAGTAGGGGAGCAGGACCAGCTAATATTGTCGTTTCAGAGCTCGCACCAGCTGAAGGCGACCTAGCCTTTGACTCGAAGCAACACACCCTGACACATGGAGAAAATGTTGCATTAGAGAAGGTGAAAGCACAGTTTCCTTCATTTGCAGTGTTAGGATTAGGTCACACAGATGTTGAAGAACATATAATCAAGGTAGAAAATGAGAATATCCCAGTGAAACAACGCCACTATCCGATATCGCCTGCAATTCAAAAACTTGTTTATCAGGAACTAGATAGGATGTTAGATATGGGAGTCATAGAGGAAAGTAATAGTAGTTGGAGTTCGCCAGTATCTTTAGTAATAAAAGGTACAAAGAACCGTCTCTGTCTTGATGCCAGAAAAGTTAATGAAAGGACGATTAAAGATGCGTATCCATTACCGCATGTAGACGGTATCTTCAGTCGCCTCCAAAATACCCGATACATTTCGGCGATTGACTTAAAGGACGCATTCTGGCAAATCCTACTAGAAAGGAGATCCAGGGAAAAGACGGCGTTTACAGTCCTAGGCAGGCCGCTTTACCATTTCACAGTCATGCCATTCGGTTTATGCAACGCGGCTCAAAGAATGTGCAGACTGATGGATAAAGTGATACCTGCGTCGTTAAGAGAAAATGTATTTGTGTATTTAGATGATCTGTTAGTGTGTTCTGTTGATTTCCCGTCGCATCTTTGTTTGTTGGAAAAGGTCGCTCGATGTGAACGTAGAAAAAAGCAAGTTTTGTTACAGAGAAGTCCGTTATCTTGGCTATGTAGTAGGAGATGGTTGCATCCGCACTGATGAAAATAAGGTTATTGCAGTTAGGGATTTCCCGGAGCCCAAAACTCCAAAACAACTGCGACGATTCCTAGGTATGTCAGGCTGGTACCCCAGATTTGTCCAGGACTACGCGACCCACCCCGTTGCACGACTGCCTCACAAAGGACAAAATTAAAAGGTTTGTCATGACGGACTTAGCCAAGAAATCCTTCGAGAAACTGAAACAAAGTCTCATTTCGGCACCCGTACTCACACACCCAGATTTCAACAGACGTTTTTACATACAATGTGATGCATCAACGGACGGAGTGGGTGGGGTATTATTTCAACTTGACGATGACAACAACGAACGACCAATTGCGTACATCTCAGCGAAGCTGAACAGAGCGCAAAGAAATTACAGTATTACGGAGCTCGAATGCTATGCAGCGGTCGTAAGCGTTAAACGATTCAGGCCGTATGTCGAAGGTATGCCTTTTACTATTATTACAGACCATGCTAGTCTGAAATGGCTCATGAACCAGAAGGATCTATCAGGAAGACTCGCAAGATGGAGCCTTAAGCTACAAGCATACAACTTCGATATACAGCATCGCAAAGGCGCGCAAAACATTGTGCCCGACACACTCTCACGGATGCATATGGAAGAGTTGATGCTAGATGACAGACGGTTGGATGTATGCTTGGAATCACCATACTTTGACTCTGACGAATACAATGAACTGAGAAAAACTGTAACAGAAAATAAAGACAAATTACCTGACATGTGCCTTTCGGACGGTTATATTTATAAACGGACCCAATTCGACAGCGGGAATGAGCTTCAATGGGACCAGACCTGGAAACTTTGGGTACCGTCGGAGTTACGACAAGGCCTAGTGGAAGCTGCCCATGGATCAACGTCAGCCGGTCACGGTGGCATCCATAAAACCCTTACACGCCTACGTGAAAAATATTACTGGCCAGGAATGGTGACTGATGTACAAACAGCCCTTAAAAACTGTGATACATGCAAAGAAAATAAAACATCAAATGCCTTAAAAAATCCCCTGCTGATAAGCCAGCACATAACAGAACGAACTTTCATGGGTCCATATCCTCGTACTAGTGACTGTAACGTTTTTGTTTTTATTTGTCTTGATCATTTTACAAAGTTTGTGTTTTTAAAACCAATGAAAAGAGCCACTTCAGCAGAAGTAGTAAAATTTTTAGAAAAAGAAATATTTCATATATTCGGTGTACCTGAATACGTGCATTCAGATAATGGCAAGCAGTTTGTCTCTGAAATATTCGCCAACTTTTTGGAAAAATATGCAACAAAACATAGAACCGCATTTTACTCGCCAAGGTAACGCAGCTGAGCATGTGAACAGATCTGTTCTGCAAATACTTCGTTCATATATAAAAGACAATCAAAAACACTGGGACAAGTATATTAGTGATGCGGCGTTTGCATTACGCAGCGCAATGCCTTCATCAATCGGCTGCACCCCATATTTTGCAACTTTTGGTATTCCGATGATACAACATGGGGCATCATATGAGATATACCGAAAACTCGGCGCAATAGTGAGTGCGGACTATTCTGTTGACACGAAACCAGACCAACAACAACTTTTGAGGAACAAATTAATGAAAGGATTGAAGTTAGCTCATGAGAAATGTATGAAAGTTTATAATACGAGGGGTAAGGATGTGAGATTCCAAATAGGACAGGTGGTATACCGCCGAAACTTCCGTCAGAGTTCTACAATAGATAGCTATAATGCGAAATTAGCGCCGAAACAAGTAAAGTGCATAATCCTTAAGGTTATCGGAAACTCCATGTATGAGCTAGGCGATCTAAACGGAAAAAAGGTCGGAATATACCATGCCAAAGACATATTTGTAGCGTAATATATTTACGTGAGGTTATATTATATTTGTTACTCAATAGTGCAACAGCCAAATGTTTGATGCCAGACTTAATGCTTTGTTTTATAGACTTATTGTTAAATGTATAGGGTGTGTCTGAGAAAGTTTTAACATACCTGATAGCAATAGTAAGCCACCCTTGACAAACGATCTGTAACATTGAATCGTTATTTTTTACTATTCATTTGCATAAACAGGCCCACTGTGAGTTCTAGTAATGATGTGAAAGTTCTTATGTATGTAAGCATGTGAATGTGCCTAAAAGAAAGCTCTATGTGAGTAGGAAATATGTGTTTGTATATGTGTTCTGAGTGAAAGCTCGAGAAAAGTTTCACACACAGCAGCGAGCACAGCAGCAAAGGTGAGAGCTGAATCAAGAGAAATCAGCACCTTTACGTAGTGGAGGTCTTAGCCACCATAGACAGCAGGGGAAGAAATCCACCACATCCATGCGGGGAANAATTTTAAATACCTGCGTAACGATTTTGTGTGGATGAAGGAGTCACCCAGAAGGCAGGAGGACCGATGTTCGAAGATATATATTTAAATTTTTCGCAGCAGTTTTCTTATAACGCGCACGATCTTTTGTTTTATTTAGTCGCAACTAAATAATGTTTTTTACGTCATGATTAGTTCACTCATTCAAATTTTTTACTTTCACTTCTTTTAAGATCAATTAAATTAAGTTTAAACTTAAGTTTGTTTGCATATTTAAAAATCGTAATCTCGCCGGAAAGAAGTCTAGTCTTTCAGTTAGCTTAAGCAAAAAGACACATATGTACCCTATTTCAAGTAAATCAAACTTTAAATAGGTCTTCCTGTTAATCTAAGCAAAAGCCCCCTTTCCAGAGAGAAGTGGAGTCTTTCTGTCAGCTTAAGCAAAAAGACACATATGTACCCTATTTCAAGTAAATCAAACTTTAAATAGGTCTTCCTGTTAATCTAAGCAAAAGCCCCCTTTCCAGAGAGAAGTGGAGTCTTTCTGTCAGCTTAAGCAAAAAGACACAAATGCACCGAATTTCAAGTCAATCGAACAATGAATAATATTTTTTTATTCAGACCCTGGTCAAGTTTCTTGCAAATGTAAGCAAAAACGCACGATTCGAAAAGGAATATTGTCTTTCTTTTAATATCAGCAAAAAGACACCTTATTACCGAATGTCAAGTAAATCGAACTAAAGGTAAGATTTTTTCGATATGGTCAGTCTCTGGTCTACTTCCCGGAGAGAAGCGTCATCTTCCTGTTAACCCAGGCAAAGAGACACCTAGGCAGCGAACTTCAAATAAATCGAAGAATTATCAAACTTTTTTGTCCACTTGCCGCAGAGAAGTGTAGTCTTCCTGTTTATCTGAGCAAAAAGCGACCTATGTACCGAGCTTCCAACAACTAGAACAATAAAAAAACTTTTTGAGTAGGTCAATCCCTGGTTCACTTCCCGGAGAGAAGCGTCGTTCTCCTAATAACCTATTCAAAAAGACACCTATCTGCCGGACTTCAAGTAAATCTAAGAGATTTGATCCACTTGCCACAGAGAAGTTTAGTCTGGGCAAAAAGGCACCAATTTACCGAATTCCGTGCAATTAGAGCAAAGAAAAACTTTTGGTAAACTTTTCCGTGAGAAGTGTAGTCTTTCTGTAAGCTTAAGCAAAAAGACACATATGCACCGAATTTCAAGTAAATCGAACAAAAAATATTTTTTTTAAATCAGACCCTGATCAACTTTACGGAGAGAAATATTGTCTTTCTTTTAATAACAAAAAAAAAACACCTATATACCGAATTTCAAGTAAATCGAACTATAAGTAAGATTTTTTCGATTAGGTCAGCCCCTGGTTCACTTCCCTTTAAATAGGTCTTCCAATTTATCTAAGCAAAACACCACCTTTGTACCGAATTTCAAATAAATCGAACCATAAATTCATTTTTTTGAATACGTCAATGATTCGTCCACCTTCTGGAGAAAACTATATTCTTCCTGTTTATCTAAGCAAAAACCCATTTTAAGGAGAGATTTATAGTCTTCCCGTTAATGGACATCAGTAGAAAGACACCTCTTAACCCAATTCCAAGCAGATCGACATTAATAACGTTTTTTCGAACAGGCCAGTCGCTTGTCCACTTCCCGGAGAGAAGCGTTGTCTTAATGTTAATCTAGGAAAAAAGACACCTAATTTCAACTTAACCGAACAATAAATAAATTTGTAATAAGTCAGTCCCTGGTCAACCTTCCTCATATAGGTGTAGTCCTCATGTAAATGTAAGCAAACACCCATTTTACAGAGGGAAATATAGTCTTTCCGTTAATATCAGCAAACAGACACATATTTACCGAATTTCAAGTTAATCGAATTATAAATTAGATTTATCGAGCAGATCATTTTCTCGTCCACTTCCCGGAAAGAAGTTTCGTCTTCATGTTAGCTTAAGCACAAAAGATTCCTATGAACCGAACTTCAAGTAAATCAAACAATGTTAATCTAAGCAAGACCCCATTTATATAGAGCAAAGAGAACTATACATAGGTCAGGCCCTGATCCACTTCTTGGAGAGAAGTCTAGTCTTTCTGTTAGTTTAAACAAAAAGATACATATGTTCAAGTAAATTGAACTTTAAATAGGTATTCCTGTTAATCTAAGCAAAAGCCCCCTTTCCGGAGAGAAGTGAAGTTTTTCTGTTAATTTAAACCAAAGGACACATATGCACCGAATTTCAGGTAAATCGAACAATGAATGAACTTTTTTGATAAGTCTATGTTTGGTCCGCTTTCCGAATATATGTATAATCTTCCTGTAAATGTAAGCAAAAATGCACCATCCGGAGAGAGCTACAGTCTTTCTTTTAGTATCAGCAAAAAGGCACCTATTCACCGAATTTCAACTAAATCGAACTATAAATAAAATTTTTTCGATAAGGTCAGTCCCTGGTCCACTTCCCGGAGAGAAGCGTCGTCTTCCTGTTAATCTAAGCAAAAAGCCACCTATGTTATGAATTTCAAGTAAATCGAACTATAAGTAAAATTTTTTCGATAAGGTCAGTCCCTGGTACACTTCTTGGAGAGAAGCGTCGTCTTACTGTTAATCTCGGTAGACACCTAATCGAACAATGAACAGACTTTTTAAATAAATCAGTCTCTGGTCCACTTACCGGCGAGAAGTCTAGTATTTCTGTTAGCTTAAGCAAAAAGACGCATTTGTACCGTATTTCAAGTAATTCAAACTTTAAATTGGTTTTCCTTTTTATCTAATCAAAAAGACCTTTGTACCGAGTTTCAGATAATTCGAACCATAAGTTCATTTTTTTCGAATTCGTCAATGTCTCGCCATTTTTCTGGAGAGAATATAAATCTTCCTGTTAATCTAAGCAAAAACCCATTTTCCGGAGAGAATTATAGTCTTCCTGTTAATAAGCATCAGCAAAAAGACACTTTTTAACCCAATTTCAAGCAAATCGGAATATATAGTCTCTTAATGATCCACTTTCAGAAACGAAGGGTGGTTTCCCTATAAATATCAGCAAAAAGCCACGTACTCAGCGAATTTGAAGAATCTCGAACAGTTAATAAGATTTGTTTGAATAGGACAGTCTTCGAACTAACAATAAGCTTTTTTCGAGTAGGTCAGTCAGTAAGTAAGCAAAAAGCCACCTATGTACCGAACTTCAAGGAAATCAAACTTTAAATAGATCTTCCTGTTAATCTAAGCAAAAGCCTCCTTTCGTCAAGGATGTGAAGTCTTTCTGTTTGCTTAAGCAAAAAGGCACAGATCCAACGTATTTCAAGTAAATTGAACAATAAATAACCTTTTTTTTTTAAATCGGTCCCTAGTCAACTTTCTCAGAGAAATATAGTCTTTCTTTTAATATCAGCAAAAAGACATCTATTTACCGAGTTTCAAGTAAATTAAACTATAAAAAAGATTTAGAATAGAATAGAATAGAATAGAAACAAAAAATTTCGTCCACTTTCTGGAGAGAATTGTAGTATTCCTGTTAATCTATCAAAAAACTAACTTTTCCGGAGACAAATACAATCTTCCTATTAATATCAGTAAATCGAAAAATAAATAAAGTTTTGTTATAAGACAGTCCCTGTTAAATTCTCCGCATAAAAGTGCAGTCTTCATGTAAATGTAAGCAAAAACCGACTTTCCGGAGAAAAATATAGTATTTCCGTTACTACCGGCAAAAGACATATATTTACCGAATTTCAAGTAAATCGAAATACAAATAAGATTTTTTCAAACAGTTACCTTGTGCACTTCCCGGAGAGAAGAGTCTTCTTCCTGTTAATCTAGGCAAAAAGACAACTATGCGCCGAGTTTCTAGCAAATCGAACAATAAATAAATCACTGGTAAATTTTTTCGAATAAGTTAGTCGCTTGTCCACTTCCCTTAGAGAAGTGTAGTTTCCATGTTAATCTAAGCAAAAAGACGCCTATGTACTGAATTTCAAGTATATCGTATAGTAAATAAGCTTTTTGATATGACAGTCCCTTATCCACTTTCCGAAGGGAAGTATAGTTTTCTGGTTAATTTTTGCAAAAAGCCGCCCGGGTACCGAATTTAAAATAAATCAAACAAAAATCGCTTTCGTCCTTGTCCCGTTCTTCGCACTTCATGGATGTCGGTGATGTCGGCCTTTATTCTTACGAGCACATCAACCAGCTGGACAACGGCACCTTCCCAATTAAGTGACCGGACTTTTCAAGTGCATGTCCTCAAATCGTGATCCTTAATTCGTTTACTGGGGCTGGTTTCTTCATGGCGGGTCCCAAACCCAGCGCACAACCTCGAACTATAAATAATTTTTTAAATAAGTCAGTCCCTGGTCCACTTCCCGGAAAGAAGTGTAGTCTTCCTGTTAATTTAAGATAATAGCCACCCAACTATAAACATTTTTTTGAATAGGTCAGTAACTGGTCCACTTTCCGGAGAGAAGTGAAGTTTTTCTGTTAATTTAAGCCAAAAGACACATATGCACCGAATTTCAAGTCAATCAAACAATAAATAAACTTTTGTAATAAGTCCGTCCCTTGTGAAATTTCCGGATGTAAGTGTAGTCTTCATGTTAATGTAAGCAAAACACATATTTACCGAATTTCAGGTAAATCGAAACCAAAATAAGATTTTTTCTAACTATTCAGTCTCTAAGCGAAAGCTGACTTTCCGGA